GTGGCAAAAACATAGGCTAAATGTGTCAAAGCAATGGGGGGTGTTTTGAGGGGGATTGAAAGCAATGTATCTTTCACTGTAATTAAAAAAATTTAAACATTCCCTGCAAATGTTGATCATACCTTATACAAACACATCTCTGTGGGGAAAAAGAGGGGGAAGCCCAGCATGCCACACCCAGTTTTTTCTTCCTGACTCACCAGTCAGACAGTTCACTCAATTATTAGGAGGATAATTGAAGCCTCCTAGGAATGTTCACCCAGTACTGTTGTTCCAAGTGGAAACCTGAGACAGGAGGAAGGATATCCCGCTAACTCAGGTATAATGCCTGGAATGGTCCTAATTTTTTGAACTGTTGCTTAGAGCTACCCATTTGCACCTCACCTTTTTGCTGACTCCAAGCGATTGCAAAAACATGCTGCAATAGTGAGAAGCCATTTATAGAGGACAGTGTGGCAGCCAGATGGGGAAGGATGGCACAGAACATCACAAGTTAAAAAAGCAGGACAAAGAACAGTGTAATTGGAAATTTAACATTACACCATTATCACCTCTTTTAGAAGTTTAACAATTTGACCCAGATTAGCATTTATGTCCTCAGATATGCTTGGATATTACAGAAACTGTCTAACTGACCACCACTTCTGCAGTTTTCAGGATTAGTCAATGCTGTCTCTCTGTCAGTTTTACTGACGGTTGGTGGGTGCTGGCAGGTAGTATAGTTTTCCAGAGCACACCACACACTTCTCATACTTTTCCATACAGCTTCCAAGAATTGTAATATTCCACCCGTACTTGTTATTGTATGTATTTAATTCAATTAACTATTGTAAAAATTGTTGAATATTAGTAGAAAGAGGAAGCTATTTCATTGGAAACCATCCCAAACGTTTTGATAGACTGCATAAAGGCAAGTTACTAAAAATGCTTGCTGTTCGATTATGCATGAATGAGACAACTCTAAAAGATTGGGAGCATCGTACAAATATAGAATCTGCGCTCAAACCACTGTGCCAGTCTCTGTGTGATCACAAGATCATGCTGCAGCAGTGAGAAGCCACTTAGAGTCGACAGTGTAGCAGTCAGATGGGGAGGATTTACGTGCTTCAACTAGATGATCACGTGCATTAATTATGGATTTGGTATTCAAGACAGTGTTCTGTCCATGAACTTGGAAATTAGGATTTTCATTTGAACATAAGCTACATGGTCAACACAAAATGCGTATGATCTAAAATAATCAAAGTGTGCTTAGACAGATGGTGCTCTGTGACACACTTGGTCAGTCTCAGTGAGTACTACTAATGTTTTAAGAAAGAATGTATCCATCAGAAGGGCTTGGTGGTGCTGGTGGGAGAGAGAGGAAGGAGGAGGAGAAGGAGAAGGAGAAGGAGAAGAAAAAGAAGAGGAAGAGGAAGAGGAAGGAGTAGTTGGGAATGTAAAAAGATGAGAAGCACCACAGAAGCCAGTTTTGAGCAGAGCCTATCTGGGACTTAGCAACGATTGCGCTCTGGCTTGGAGACAGAATCTGTTCAGACCTTGGCCTGGTGCACCTCTCCAATAGATGCTTAGGGTTATCAATGCCTGGTGCCTCTGACACCTGAATTCTCCAATGGACCTCCCTAATTTTGATTTAATCTTTGCTAGCATTCTGTTGCTTGTAATTTAGTCACCTAGGTATACCCAGGGAATAGGGCATGTTGACACAAATGTATTTATGGTTATTATAGTCCCCCATGGAACTCAAGCAATCTGAAGTCCAGATTATCTGCAAATACTTGATGTGGGTTATTGAGAATCTGCTCTTAAGCAGTGACTTTGTTCCCTGTGTGCTGGCAAGAATCGAGTCATACATACCAGCACTGAGAACTGGATTTTGGACTATGAACAGCTGATCAAAAAAATGATATGGGTAGTTTGATGGACAGGCAGCTAGATCTCCCTGGATCTCCTAGAGATGAACACACTTGGAATCCATATTCTTCAAACATGGTTGGCCTTAGCCTCTTGTTGGCTATTTTGTGGGACACCTTGGCTCTTTTTTTAAATTGAAGGAGCTAGAATTTAATTAGAACTAACACAGAGGTTTAGGCCATAACGAATTATTCAGAGTTTCTGTGAGAACTTCTTTATTAAGGCATCTTGAAATTTGATTATTTATCCTCAATATATAACCGTATTTTCAAAACACAAACCACACTGACTCCAGTATTCACAGGCCTTTGAGAGGTTTTGTATTGTTCAAAAAACTTGTTCTTTGAGGCTTTTACCTTGCACACCAAGCTCTTTTGTAGTACAAAATGTCAGAGTTGTGACCTAACACTCCCAGTTACTGTGTGCCATAAATGGAATATCAGCAAGAGCCAAGCCCTCTGTGCAGGTTGCCAAAGACGCACAGGCACAGCCTGCTGCTTGTTTTTTGTCTTTCAGCACCCATGCTTCTACAAAGAAAATACACACTTTGGAGGGCTAGCATGCATGATGATAATACGGTTTACAGCATCCAGGTCTATGAGAGTCTCTTCCCTGCACAGTGTATAGGCAGAAAACACAGTGGTCCTGCTGTACAGCAAAGAGCCTGCAAACCATCAGCAGTGCCTGGACAGTGTCCAAGTGCCCACTTCACTCCACCCTCTGTCATTCTTAGGTGGCAAGCGACAGTCTCCTGGAGCTGCTTAAAACCTCTCAGATCTGACAGAGGGGACATCAACTGAGAGAACATGGGGGAAGAGGACCTGGGATCTTGTTACCTACTTTCCCTGTGTGTTGAGACAACTCCAGCATAAAGTAGACACTCATCAATTTGCCTGTGACAGAGGGATGCTCACTGATTTGCCAGAGGAAGTGTCTCCAGAGCCATTGAGTTTTCTTTTTCAGAGAAGCAGCCTATTAAGTATGAAAAAACAGTTGACAGCCTTCACTCTCTTATATTGGGAAAATTTAGAGATTTTTTTTGAACTTTATTTGGAAATAGTTTTCACACTTTTGGAAAAGATATAAGAAGATATAACAAACCTTTGTATAGCCTTAACCAGATTTTTGCCATATTTGCCCTAACATTCTAAATCTTTCCCTTTTCCCCTCTTTTCATCTATCACCTATCTATCTATCTATCTATCTATCTATCTATCTATCTATCTATCATGTGTCCCTGTTATATCTGTTGATATATGTATACACTGTATACATACTAACATATATACATATACACATAGAAAATGCCTTTTAATTAACTATTTGAGAGTAGGTTCAGGATTATGCTTCTTTACTTCTAACAATTTAAATGTGTATCTGTTAAGAACAAGGATGTTCATTCATATAACCATAGTGTAATGATGAAATGAAGTTCAAAAATGAAGAACTTTAAAACTTTAGTTTATAAATCTTGATCAAATCCCACCAGCTGTCTCACTAATGCCCTTTATAAAAGTTTTATTTATTTAAATGTTCAGAATTTAGTTATCACATGTTGCATTTAGTTTGCTCTTCTTTTAAGTCTCTTTCAGACTAGAATTTTTGTTGCCTGTCTTTGCTTTTCATGAAATTGACCATTTTATTATCGATTTAATTAAAAAAATAAAGTACAGGGGTTTATTTAGCTCATAGTTCTGGAGGCTGGGAAGTCCATGCCTGAGGGAACACATTTGGTGAACATCTTTTTGTGTGGATCCTGTAGGATCCCAGGGCATTGCAAGGCATCACATGTCAGGAGGGGCACATGCAGGACATATAGCTAAATTGGCTTTTAAAATTGATCCTTTCTCACGATGACCCATTAATTAATTAGTATATAAATGGATCAACTCGTTCATGAGGCAAGGGCTGCATAACTCAGTCAACCCTTAAAGGTCCTACCTAGTTTCACTTCTGTTTTTAATTGATTTTTTATTAGTACATCTTCACAGTGCATGATTACGTTCATCATGAAAGTTGATATGTATACATAGCATTTCTTTATGTTTTAAAATCCTCTTCCCCTCCTCTCCCTTCCTCCTTCCATCTCTTTATCACCTCCATTTTCACAAAAGTTGTATCTCCCTTTTACGTATTATCTGTCTTCTATTTTACTATTTATTTATAACTTAGGGTTTCTCTTGTAAGAGAAACCATGCCATATTTAAGCTTGTGTGCCTGATTTATTTCACTTAACATTATGGGAAAATAACATTCTAAAGAGCATAGGCCAGCCAGAATGGCAGCACATGTCATGTAAGTGATATAAGCAACTTGGGAGGCTGAAGTAGGGGGTCACAAGTTTGAGGCAAACCCAGGCAATTACAGAGACTCTGTCTCAAAAAGTAAAGACAGGCTGGGAATGTGGTTCGGTGTTAGAGCCACAAAAAAAGGGAAGGGGGAAGCATAGGTCAATTATTCTACTGTTTCCCAAGCTGAGTTTGTAGCTGCCTCCTGTAGGCTAGATGTGTGTTGACTGTTGGAGGTTTCTGGTCCTCGGTGTGTTCCATCAGGAATCTGGTGAGTCTATTTCCCACCCTGGTGGTGTTAGTTCTGGTGTTCAGTTCTGGTGTTGTCTGCTGGGTTTCTCTATAGTAAAGTTATGATCGCCTCCTTTACCTATGGTTTTACTTTCTGAGATTTCAGTGCTCAACTGTGTTTTGAAAAAATTAAATGGAAAATTCTAGAAGGAAGCAATTCATGAATTTTAAATTACTCTTTGTAGTACATTGTTGTAATCGTTATTTTTATTGTTAAATATTGTCAATCTCTTAGTCTGCCTAATTTATAGGCTAACCATTAAGGTATGTTTGTATAAGAAAAAACATGGCACATGGAGGGTTTAGTGCTATCCACAGTTTGAGGCATCCACCGTGGGGAGTGTGCCATGCAGGTGGGGGGTGTCCTGTAATAGGTAGCTTGTGAGGCGACACTTCAAGGCCTTATAATTGCCCAGTTCTGGGTCCATTGTCTCGCACTGGCTCCGGTGCACTTGCTGTCTGCTGTAGTGGGGTATCTCATTGTGTGCTCTTTCTCTCTCTTCCCAGTGGTGATCATGTGTGCCAGTGGGGATACCATCCGGAGCATCATGCTGGCAGTACACAGACATGGCATGACCAGTGGAGACTATGCCTTCTTCAACATTGAACTCTTCAACAGCTCTTCCTATGGTAACTGTGCTTACCGCTCTCTCTCCCACTGCCAAGGTGTCTGCATCAGCTTTCTGTTGCTGTGAGGTGAAAACTTACAAGGAGGAAAGGTTTATATTGGCTCATGGTTTCAGAGGTTTCAGTCCGTAGTTGCTTGGCCCTATTGCTTTGGATATGTGATAGGAAAGTACATCGTGGCAAGTGTGCATGGTGGAGGTGACCTGTTTACCTCATGGTAGCTGGAAGGCAAAGAGAGTCAGTGAGGGGCTGGGATCCCGATAACCCTTCAAAGACACACTTCCAATGTCCTAACTTCTTCCAAGTAGGCCTTGCCTTCCAAAGCTTCTACCCTTTTCCAATAGCACGATGGCTACCACAAAACCTTCAACACGTGGGCCTATGGGGGGCATTCAAGACCCAAATCAGAGCTGGGTCAAAAAGGGGCTCTGATGAAGATTTGAGAATTTGAATTATGCTCATAAATATGATTTGGGAAATTTTTGATTCTGAGCAAGACTATATAAATGCTCTGTTCTGTGTTATGACAACATCTCATAATTCCTTAAACTTTTCTTCTCTGAGAACTCAAGGAGTGCAAAACTATGTACCTATGGTGTCAAGATACTTGTCTGGGTACTTGTCTGGCGGTCAGCATATCCCAGTTCCACAGTCCAGGTGGTCAAAATGGAGACCCTGAAGACCCCTTGTCCAGTGCCTTTCCAGCTGCAGGTTGCTACCACTGACATGGACAGTCAAAATAATTTAAGTGAGATGTGGGTAGAATTTGAAGTAGAATGGAACAGATTATACCATAATGGGCTAGAGCATGTCAGAGTATGTCAAACTTACCACATGTACGGGTTCATACAACCTTGATGTTAGCAATATAGAGATTTATGCACATTTCATATATGTTTATAAAAGGTCACAATGTAAAATAAAGTAGCTATTACTGTAAATTGAGGTAAAGACATTTGAAAGCCACTGCTCATAGCCCCCTCTTTCTTTGCAATCAATATGCTTTAAGCCTCTCCTGTGTAGAATTTGGGAGCTATGGCATTGAATTACGTGTGATGGATCTGGGGAAGTTCCCAGGGTCCCTGTGTTGGAGGGTGTTAAAGGAGGCTGTCATGATCACAAGTTCAAATGTTTCCTTCTAAATGTGGTTATGGCTTTCTCTAATGTTCACTGTGAGGGCTACAGAATATTTCCTCAAACCTGCAGGCTAGCTGTGCACAGTTGCATGGTTCTAGGGGAATGTTAGTGTGCAGATCACAAATGACGTGTTTATACCAAGCTCCACTTCCGAGTTCCTGCTGGCTGTATGTCGTTACACAGGATCTAAACCTTCAAACATACGCCGTGGTTTCCTGCCTTGATACCCTGGCTTACTTTAGCAGCATTATTGTGTATATACAGATGATATAATGCACTTCCCATGGAGATAGAGAAAAATTGATAAAACAAAAGTAGACACTGCTTCCTGCAGTGGATGAAACTGGACATGTGAGGCTTGCAGGATAAATGACCTATTTTGCCTTCTTATTTGTGCCAACAATCTTTTTCCCTCCCTTTATACAAGCTGTGTGTTGGAAAATGCATCTGTAATGTTTATTCACATGCATTATGGATCTAGTACCTAATGCAAATGATGGGCATTGGAATTCCTTCCATGCACAGATATAGCTTGGATTAATTTTTCCTTTTGATTATAGTACATGAGTATTGTAGAAAGTTTGGAAAACAGAGAAAGCACCAGAAAGAAAATAAATTATTACTCTATGACCCAGATAAGAGCACATTAATAATTTTACCCTTTTCACTGTATTTGCTTAGTCTCTGGGGTCTGGATAAGAGTCTGAAAGCCGCGTACTAATTCAGCTCTAAGAGCTAAAGATTAATAGCTTAACCCTTAACCTTGTCAAAATGATTTAACTCTGCCATTTGTAAGCTTTCGTTTCTTCTGATAATACCAACAGTACTTACCTTATGGCATCAGGCTGAGTAATAAATAAGGGGATGAATGTAAAACACCTAGCAAACTTCTTGGAACATCACTGGTTAAAAAATATTAGCCATTCATTATTAGTCTTACTGTACTTTGACCATTACATGCGGTACTTTAAAAATTATGTTTTCACTTATAATATGTCATCCTGTCTTTTGTAAATATCTCTTATAAAAATATTTTAAAGTAAAATGATCATACTCTTTAGTATAGCTACATAGTATTTTTAATGTTTACATGCCACTTTTACTCACTCTTATTTTTCAATGTGTATGTTATTCCCAGCCTTTTGCTTTTAAGAACAATGCAACACTGAGTAGTCATGTATGTTCATGCATCGTACTCACTCACATGTTTGTACATTCATGCTATATATATGGTATCTTTGAGAGAAATGCTTAGAATTGAAATTGTTGGCTCAAATGTTATGTACATTTAATTTTTTTTTTTTTTTTGTACTGGGGATCAAACTTAGGACCTTGCACTTGCCAGGCAGGTGCGGCACCACCGAGCTACATCCCTGGCTGTACATTTCAGTGTCGACAGACATTACTAAGATCCCTGATTAAGAAGTTCACTACTTTTGCAACAATATATGAGATTTTGTTGTTTCCTATATCCTTGTAAAACCTGCATAATCTTTCAAATTATTTTATTTATCTGAATTTTCTTTTTATGTTCATCAACATAGTTTTGCACTTTGCTTTTCTTAACATATCTATTTTAAAGTTAACTCGTACATTTTATCAGTATAAAATAAACTACTTTGAAATGAATTCTGTAGCTGTTAACATATTCATATTATTATACACCTTTCAAATTAATACTATTCTTAACTTACACATCATAACTATAGTATATTTAATGGGTAGATTATGATGCTTTGATATATGTTTACGATGTAGGCTGATGGGGTCAAGTGAATTGGCATATCCATCACCTCATTACTTGACACTTTTTGTGGTGATACATTTAAAATTTACCTTATTTATTTTGAAACATTTACATTTTGTCCCCTTTATATTGACTTTATTCTTAAAAGATATTTCATGGTTTTGGTTGTTCTTATGATCATGATCTTTTCCTGCTATATTTTGTAACTATACAGAAAATCTCTGAGTTTTTTTTTTTTGCAAGAGTTTCACTTTCTGACTGCTCTGTTCTAATTTTTTTGTATAATTTTCACATAACAATAACAGTTTTTCCTTTTTTGATAGACATCTTATTTCTTCTTTTCATCTTGCATTGCCAAGAACCTCAAAAATGATGACATTTATTTGGTAATAAAAGTGGTAATAATAACTTTAATATCTGACTTCTTTAAGAATATCTTTACTTTAATATCTGGAACTGTTACCCCAAACTTACAAAAGTAATACAGAGCTCATGTATATGTTTTAACAAGATCCTCCAAAGTTAATAAGTTAAATAACCATAATAAAATTACCAGAACAAGAAAGTTAACATTGCTGTAATACTACTAATTAATAACCAAACTACAGGCCTTATTTCAGAGTTATCACCTATTCCCCTAATGTTCTTGCTCTGTTCTGGGTCAATCACAGGATCCCACACTAATTGAGTTGTGTCTCCTCGTTTGTGAAAGTTGACACTTTTGGTGAGGTCATTGTGTAGAATGACTTTCAGTTTAGAATTATCCAATATTTCCCACTATAGGATGATTTTATACATTTTTTTGGCAAGGATACTAAAAATGACACATCTTTCTTAATGTATAATACAACTGCCCAAGAGGGATACTTATATAACTTATTGTTGGTGATGTTCAGACAATTTCTTAAAACTTTCCCTTGAGCTCAGTTTTTCTACCTCTTGAAAATTTGATTGTATAGAATTATACACAGTGATCTTATACAACTTGCAAAGAGTACTTAGAGTTTCTGATTGAATTCTTATCATTTTACCCTTTACACTGTATTTGCTTAGACTCTGGGGTCTGGTGTCAGCATGAATAAGAGTCTGAGAGCCATGTAGTAGCTCTTAATGCTAAGAGCTAAAGATTAATAGCTTAACGTTTAACCATGTCAAAATGATTTAACTCTGCCATTTGTAAGCTTTCATTTCTTCTAATCATACTAATAGTACTACCTTATAGCATCAGGCTGAGTAAAAAATAAGGGAATGTATGTAAAACACCTAGCAAACATCTCTAGTTAATAAATAGGCATATTCATTATTAGTCTTAATTTACTTTGACCATTACATGTGGTACTTTAAAAATTATAAGTTTTCACTTTTTCTATAGTGATAATTTTATAAACAGATTAAGGGTCATAAATTCTGTTACCAAATTAACCAACTTTTAAGAATTACACCTGCATGCATCTGACCAAGTTGCCCAAGTATGGTGATTGTAATAAATGTAGAGATCTGCTCTTTCCCCTGAAAGAATTCCATAATGAAAAGCCCAGGGCAAACATGTGGTTATAAAAGGTCACCAAGGACACAAGCTTCTCCTGTTTCTTGTTCCCTCAGTCTTAGTGCCTGGCATCCATTCTCAAGATCCAAGATGGCAGCCACAGCTCCATTGATCAGATCTTAATTGTAGCCAAAACAGGGAAGAGACAGCCGGTAAAAAGATATCCCTTCAGTTGACTTGGTTTCCTTTGAAGGGCTCTTCAGAACATATCATTCATTAACATCTGATTACATGGGATTAGTTCCCCCAGGTTGCAAGAGAGTTCAGAATTATACAGAATTATACTTTTAGCTGAACTTACTGGTATTGTAAGTCAGTTTGGGGAATATGTTAGGAAAAGGAAAGGAGAATGGATGTAGGGAGGCAAGTGTCTGTGTCTTTCTCCAACCCTGAAGCACCTTCCTTCCCAGAGTAGAAGTAAATAGATCCTGTGGTGGGCAGGGTCACCTAGACCAAAATTCCAAGGAACATTATTAATAAAGGGACTTCTTTAGATTTTGTGTTCTAATATCTACGAACACTTTCATGGAAAGTTCTTTTAAATCCACTTCCTGTTCTCACAACAAACCCTAT